AAAAGAGGAGTTGGTACTGATGAAGGAATCATCAGAACTTCTGCAGACAGGGTGAAGAGTTTTGCTACTGATGAGGATCCTTCTCTCGTTGAACTGTTATTCCAGTATGGACGCTATCTTCTCATTTCGTGCTCTAGGCCTGGGACTCAAGTATCCAATCTGCAAGGAATCTGGAGCCAAGATGTTGCACCAGCATGGGAGTAAGATCGATCATTTTACTTCTTCTTCTTGTTATTATTTTTGCATTTTATTTCTATGACCGTTGGACCTCTATTTCGAACACTTTTTTTTTTCTTGAACCGGCAAGAGATCGAGCTGCCTATATATTTATGATCCAGTTAATCACACTAATAAAAATTGCTTTTCAGTGCAGCTCCTCATCTTAACATAAATCTACAGATGAATTACTGGCCAACGCTGCCTTGCAACCTTAGTGAATGCCAGGAACCATTATTCGACTTCCTTCAATCTCTTGCAGTAAATGGTAGCAAAACAGCGAAAGTAAGTTTTACAGTCCTCTGACTCTCATCGGTTTAGTAGAACTTCAAGATCATTATGGATTAGGTTAGTTATTGACATATATAGCAGTTACATTCATATTGTTGAAATTTCCAGCTTCTTGATACTGAATTTGACCACCCACCTACATTTTTATGCATTGTCTCATTGCATATATCATTGGTTCATAAACAATATAATTACTAGTTCTTGAGAATCCAGAAACCACAGGGTTATTGTAGTCCAAAAACTATACAATGGTTAGTTATTTGTTATTCTAGTGATAATGATAAATGACAAAATCTGCTAATGAATAGAAGTATACATTATATTTCATATCTTTGATAACATACTGACAGTGATTGTTGTTGAAAACGGCTCAGGATCTATAGTCGCTGAAACGCTCGGTCTCTCCCTCACGAACTCGATGAACGCGATGAACAAACGATTAACTCGCGGTGAACTCGGTGGACGGGATTAAAGCGCAGCGCACGAACTGCTGCTTTTCTGGTTTTCTTCTCCTTTTATTGACTTGGATTATATGCTAAACTTAGCTCCCGTCGCTACCGCCCACGCCCCGCGTTTCTTGCTGCACCATCCCACAGCCGCGTGACGTGGGCGACATTGCCGGGCCAAGCCTCGCCACCAGACGCACTCACACGCGCACGACGCGAAACAAGCGCCGCGCTCACCACCACTCAGCTGTACAAGCTAAAGATAGACACACACACACACATACGCAACAGAAGGAAATTCAACACACTCCCCCTTAATTCTGTTGCGCCGAACCGATGTTGACGATGCCACTCCGGACGCGCAGTTCCTAAAGGCGTTCGCGCGGAAGCGGCTTGGTCAGTAAGTCCGCCAGCTGATCACCCGTCTTGATGAAATCCGTCTCGATGACACCGGAGCTGACGTAGTCACGGATGAAATGAAACCGGACGTCGATGTGCTTACTCCTGTCGTGAAGCACCGGGTTCCTCGCCAGCGCCAGGGCAGACTTGTTGTCAATGTACAGCAGTGGCGCGACGACCTTGGCGTTCACCAGATCAGCGAGCAGGCGCGACAGCCACACTCCCTGACACGCTGCGGTAGTGCCGGCGATGTACTCCGCTTCGCACGACGATAGCGCCACCACGCGCTGCTTTTGTGATTGCCAACTGACCAGATTCTGGCCGAGGAAGAAGAACACTCTGGAGGTGCTCTTTCGATCGTCGCAGTCCCCGGCGTGATCAGCGTCGCTGAAGCCGATCAACTCCAGGGCTCCCTCCCCTCGCCGGTAGACACAGCCATAGGACCTCGTCCTGGCAATGTACCTTAGTAGGTGCTTGACGGCGCTCCAGTGCTCGGTAGTGGGCGCCTCCATGAAACGACTCACATAGCCCACTGCGAATGCAATGTCAGGGCGTGTGTGAACCAGATACCTGAGGCTTCCGATGATGCTGCGGTACAGGGTCTTGTCCACCGGAGGGTTTGAGCTCGCCTTGCTCAGCTTGAGTCGCGGCTCCATCGGAGTACTGCACGGGTTGCACCCCGAGAGCCCGGCCTTCTCGACTATCTTGTCCGCGTAGGCGCCTTGGCACAGCGTGATGCCCTTCGCACTCTGATAGACTTCGATGCCGAGGTAGTAGTGCAGTGGCCCCAGGTCGCTCATGCTGAAGAGCCGGGCCATCTCCGCCTTGAATCGATCAACCTGCGTCTGGTTCGCCCCAACCACGATGAGGTCATCAACATAGACTCCGACGAGCAACAGGTTGTCACAGGAGCCCCGCACGTACACCGCGTGCTCAGCCGCACTGCACCTGAACCCAAGGGACTGCAGCGAGTTATCCAACTTGGCGTTCCACGCCCTGGGCGCCTGCCTGAGGCCGTACAGCGCTTTGTGAAGCCTGTACACCTTGCGCTCCTTGCCACGGATCGCGTACCCCGGCGGCTGCTCGACGTACATTCCTCCGCCAGGTCTCCATTCAGGAACGCTGATTTCACATCGAGGTGGTGCACCGTCCACCCATGGTGCGCGGCGATGGCGAGGAGGAACCGCACGGATTCCAAACACGCCACCGGGGCAAAGACCTCGTCGAAGTCGACGCCGGCGCGCTGCACGTACCCCTTCGCCACCAGACGCGCCTTGTGCCTGGTGATGTTGCCGTCGGCGTCGCGCTTGATCTTGAAGACCCACTTCAGGCCTATGGGCTTCACACCTGGCGGCGCATCGATGAGTGCCCAGGTCCTGTTGTCGTTGATGGACTTGAGTTCCTCCGACATGGCCTGCTTCCACTCCTTGTGGCCCGCCGCCTCATCAAATGTAGATGGTTCGGTATCGGCGGCGAGCAGCAGATCGCCATCTGCTACGAGCTCGTCGTTGTCGTACAAGAGGTTGTCGACGATCCTGAAGCGGTGCGCGGCTCCCTCCTCGTCATTCGCGTCCAGCGTCTCCAGTGCACCTGTGGTAGGATACACGAACTGCTCTGGGACAGTACTCTTCTTCGGCAGTTCACCTTGCCATGGTACAGGCCCACCATGTACCCACGGTGTTCGTGGTGACGACGCAGCCGATGACGTTGCTGCAAACCTTGACGAAGAGGATGACGCCGTCTGGGGCGCCGGGTGCATGTCACCAGGTGGCTGGGAGTGCGGTGCAGCCGCAGACGCACCTCCTGTTGAAGGCGACGACGGGGCGTGACCGTCCGGGAAGGCATCAGCCTGCTCCCCCGGCCCCAGTTCAGCCCAATCGACCTTCACCACGAGCGTGTCCTGGCCAGCACTATAGTCGATCCCCTCCGTGCCGCCGCTGTTGTTGGACGCGCTCCAGTCCCACGCGACATCTTCTTCAAAGACAGCGTCGCGAGTGACGTGCACCCGGTTGACGACAGGGTCGAACACCCGATAAGCCTTCGATCCGGGCTCGTACCCGATCATCACCATCTTCACACTCCGGTCATCGAGCTTCCCTGCGTTCGGCTTGGTGACCTTCACGTGCGCCACGCAGCCAAAAACACGCAGGAAGTGCACGGCCGGCTTCTCGCCGTACCAAGCCTCATACGGTGTACGCCCCACCAAGCTCCTCGTCGGGGCACGATTCAACAGGAAGACGACCGTCATTACAGCCTCCCCCCATAGCCACGCAGGAACCGCCTTGGCCTTCATCATGCTCCGCACCATGGCAAGCACGGTTTGATTCCGGCGCTCCACCACGCCGTTTTGCTGGGGACTGTACGGCTCGGTGAGGTGCCGCTTGATCCCGTGCTCGGAGCAGTACTCGAGGAAACTCACCGACGTGAATTCCCCCCCACGATTGGTGCGGAACGCCTTGATCTTCCGCCCGGATTCCACCTCGACGCCGGCGCACAACTTGCGGAACGCGTCCTCAGCATCGGACTTGTTGGCGAGGAGAACCGCCCACATGTACCGCGACATGTCGTCGACGACCAGCATGATATACCGCTTGCCGCCGGGTGTCGCAGGCGTGACGGGGCCGCAGAGATCCCCATGGATCAGCTCCAGCGGCTTGCCGGCGCGGTAGTTGGCGGCTTGCGGGAACGGCGCTCAACGTTGCTTCCCGGCTAGGCAAGCGTCGCAGATGTGCTCCACGTGCTCGATCTGCGGAAGGCCTCGCACCATGCCCCTGCGCCCCATCTTCTTCAGTGCCTGAAAGCCTAGATGCCCGAACCGGGCATGCCACTTCCACTCCTCGTCGTCATACATGGCGGCCAGGCACACCGGCGGCGTCGGCCTCAGTGGCAGGATGTACAAGCGGTTTGGCGTGCGCCTTACCTTGGCGAGCAGCTCACGAGTTGCTCGATCCCACATCCGAAGGGTCCCATCTTCAATCTCGATCTTGCATCCATATTCGTCAAGTTGGCCGATGCTCAGGATGCTGCTGCGGAGGCGGGGAATGTGGTAGACGTCGTAGAACGCACGGTGGCCGCAATCCTTGGACGCGAACAGTACCGCGCCGCGCCCCGCGATCTCCATGAGCGAGCCATCCCCGAACCGCATAGAGCCGAGAACGTCGGAGTTCAGTTCGGAGAAGATGGACGCGTCGCCGGTCATGTGGTTCGATGCGCCGGTATCAAGGTACCATTGCATCTCCCCACGCTCGCCGTCGCCGTCCAGGTCCGCCACGACCTTGTGCTCGTTGAGGAAGACGTGCTCGTTACGCCGCCCGCCGTGGATAACCGTCTCCGGCGGGGTCACCACGGCCATGTACAGAGCGGGCGCCTCCCGTTCCGCCTGAGCCAGATTTACCTATGGCTGATTCACAGCCGCCGCCGCAGCCGTCTTTTCCTCATCCCGCTTCTTCTTCCGACACTCCCGCTTCCAGTGTCCGGTCTTGCCGCAGTAGTGGCAGAGGTTTTCATCCTCGCCACCGTTGCCGCCCTTGGACGGCCCTAAGCGTGCCTCCTTGCCACGCTCCTTGCCGCGGCTGCTACTGCCGCGACGCTTGCCCGAGCCGAACGGCGCCTTGTCACGGGCCGCCGACCCGTCCGCGTTGATGTTGAGGCGCGATGCGAGGCGGGCGATCACTTGCTCCTCGGTGAAGTACAGCTTGCCGTCGATCTCCTTGCCGGCATCGCTGCCGCCCGATCCGCCTCCACCTCTCACCTTCGAGCGGTTCAGACGCTCCTCCGTCGCCTTGAGCCGCCCCACGAGCTCGTCCAGGGACACCGCCTCGAGATCGAGGAGCGTCTCGATCGCCACCGCAATCTGTTCAAAGCGATCGGGGAGAGCCTGAAGAAACTTACGCACGATCTCCTCCTCCTCGTACACCTCCCCAAGCACCGAGAGCTGATCGGTGATCTTGGTGATGCGGCACGCGAAGTCGTCGACAAATTCTCCTTCCTTGAAGGTGATCGTGTTGAACTCCCGGCGCAGCGTCTGCGCCTTGGCCTTCCGCACTCGATCGACGCCGATGTACCGCGTCTTGAGCGCGTCCCACGCCGCCTTGGCCGTGGGTTTGTTGGCCATCCCTCCTTGGAGCTCTGGAGAAACCGACTTGCACAGCGCCTCCAGTGCGTTGCGGTCGTCGGTGAACACCGTGGTGCCGACGTTGACGGTGTCCCAGAGGTGCCTCCCCTGGAGCATGACGCGCATCAATGCCGCCCAATCGGTGTAGTTCGTCCTCGTCAACATGGGCCATCCGGCGTTGCCCACCTCCCGGACCGTGCGGTGTATCACCAGCCCACGGTCGTACCCGCCGCTGCCTCCTGCGCGGCTGTCAGTTGGGGATGTCGAATGCCGGCGCCGCGGCGAGCTCGATCTCCTGCGCGGCATGAACGCAGCTTCAATGGCTCGATGACGATCCCAGCGACGGAAATGGGCTCTGATGCCAGTTGTTGAAAACGGCTCAGGATCTATAGTCGCTGAAACGCTCGGTCTCTCCCTCACGAACTTGATGAACGCGATGAACAAACGATTAACTCGCGGTGAACTCGGTGGATGGGATTTTGGCGCAGCGCACGAACTGCTGCTTTTCTGGTTTTCTTCTCCTTTTATTGACTTGGATTACATGCTAAACTTAGCTCCCGTCGCTACCGCCCACGCCCCGCGTTTCTTGCTGCGCCATCCCACAGCCGCGCGACGTGGGCGACATTGCCGGGCTAAGCCTCGCCACCAGACGCACTCACACGCACACGACGCGAAACAAGCGCCGCGCTCACCACCACTCAGCTGTACAAGCTAAAGATAGACACACACACACATACGCAACAGAAGGAAATTCAACAATTGTTAAGTTAGTGAAGGTGGGGACAGCACAAAGTGTGACTTCACTAACAGTAGAGATTGGATTTTATTCTTCCATGTAATTGGAATATGAAGCAGTAAACATTTAAACCAAAATTAAGTTGCACCTTAGAAGCCTGATTCAGTTTTTGAGAAAACTATATGTAACTGTGACAGGTAAATTACCAAGCACGCGGATGGGTAACGCATCATGTGTCAGATATATGGGCCAAGTCTTCAGCGTTTATTAAGAATCCTAAGCATGCTGTGTGGCCAATGGGAGGTGCTTGGCTTTGCACACATCTATGGGAGCATTATCAGTTTTCTCTTGACAAAGTAAGAAACCAGTACGTATGTATACAGTCCACTGTTGTCCTTTCATTGGATTTGGCAAGTAACCCTTCTTAATAGAAATACATATTAACACATGTACCCATGATCTAGTCATCAAGAAAAAGTGAAAAACACGCCTGAATAAATTGTTTCCACAAATTTCAATAAAAAACAAATACATGTCAAGCAAGATTTGTAGAAAACTTATTTGATATATAGTTCATAGCTTTCAAAAAATTTAGGACTTTTTGGAGTATACTGCATATCCATTGCTGGAAGGCTGTGCTACTTTTCTGGTTGACTGGCTGATTGAAGGACCTGGAGGCTACCTACAAACCAATCCCTCAACATCTCCGGAGCATGCTTTCACAGCTCCTGACGGTAAGCCAGCGAGCGTGAGCTATTCAACAACAATGGACATCTCAATTATAAGGGAAGTTTTTTCAGCTGTGCTTCTGTCTGCAGAGGTAATATAATTAATTGTGCGACAGTTACATCTGGTTACATATAACTATTTCTAAGTTGAATGGCATAACTGTGATATTTTTTAGAACATGCATTGCACACATTTCATTAAGAGAGGTATGTTTGTGATATATATTGGATTATAAAATGATGATATGCTTTTCCATACTACAGATCTTGGAGAAGTCTGATACTGATTTGGTTGAGAAGATTAAGAAAGCTCTCCCAAGGCTCCCTCCCATTCAGATTGCAAGAGACAATACTATCATGGAATGGGTATGTCAATCCACTGAATAACAAGTTTGTATTTTGGAATTCTATATATTTTCCGTGAACTCTCCAATGATTTCCTGAATATGTCTGTCTATGCAGGCACTAGATTTCCAGGACCCAGAAGTCCATCATAGGCACTTGTCGCATCTATTTGGACTTTACCCTGGACATACTATAACCTTGGAGAATAATCCTGATGTTTGTGGAGCTGTTTCTAATAGCCTTTATAAAAGAGGTTTGCACAACTTCACAAAACTGCATGCATTTTACATCCCAGGAATATCTTTGTACCATTGTATTCAGTATGTAACCATGCATTGAGGGGAGCAATGGTGCTTGACTGCTTGGCAGCGCTATGGTTTGTTGGCAGATGCAGCAGAGCAATCAACCAAGCCTTAAGCCCTTAACCTTGACGCACTATGTAATTTATTTACAACAAGCAACGTTACAAAACTGCATCCCTATTACAATTCTTTAATTGTATATAATACAATTGGCTGAAAATGAAGAATCATCCATTTGCTTTTTAGGCGAAGATGGCCCAGGATGGTCAACAACATGGAAGATGGCCCTCTGGGCACGTCTTATGAACAGCGAGAATGCATACAGAATGGTCCTGAAGTTGATCACTTTGGTTCCCCCTGGTGAAAAGGTCCAATTTGAAGGAGGACTGTACAACAATCTATGGACAGCGCATCCACCATTCCAGATTGACGCAAACTTTGGGTAACAGAACAGACACATCTCCAGCCTCTCTGAATTTTTAGATGACCGACAGAGTTTACATATATGAACATGTTCTCTACTGCAGGTTCACAGCTGCCATTGCCGAGATGCTGGTTCAGAGCACACAGAATGATCTCTACCTGCTCCCTGCCCTGCCGCGCGATAAGTGGCCCAGAGGCTGTGCCAAAGGGCTGAGGGCTCGAGGAGATGTGACTGTAAACATATGCTGGGACGAAGGGGAGCTTCAAGAAGCAATGTTATGTTCCAAAAATCGGAACTCAGTTACAAGGCTGCACTACGGTGAACGCGTTACCTCTGTTAGAGTTCGCTGCGGTACTGTGTACAGGTTCAACAGGGGATTGCAGTGCTTGGAGGCGTGGCCCCTCGGCAAATAACTTTCACAATTTACATGCATACAGTCCAAGTCCAAATATCAGAGTTGATGATAGTTAATACATGTTTGTGCTTTCCCTGTCTCATCAAAGAGAAGAGAGTGACCCTTCTTCCTCATGGCCAACATAACTGAAAGGCAAATTTATTATATTTACAAATCTTCTCCTTGTCATTTTGTTGAAGACCTTCTCACTTGAACACCAGTCCAGCCTCCAGCGCCTCCAAAACACAACATTCCAAAAAAAAAAACAGGAATGTTTCAGCACCGTGCTGCACTGAATGTACCAAAAGTGAAAGACAATGCACCAAACTCCTCCCAGGCAATCTGCTTATTAGCATCATGTCGGCCACAAGTACCAGATTCACCCAGCAGCTTCATATCTTGGAGGCTCAGCTGCATCTCTTTGCAACATTGCTTCAACTTTCTGATCTCACCCATCCTCTCTTTATCCTTGCAATATAATACTTCATCTGCAGCGTCGAACCATGCCCCTAAAATAACCCAATTACTTCCTGTCCCTGAAACAAGTTGTCAGGTTTCTGCATCATGCAAAATTCAAAACTGAACAAAGCAAAGCAAGTGTGGTACAGCATTACGAAACCAAGATCACCCAGTCAAAAAGCATTGTTTTGGAAACAGACGGACGTAGTGAACGTGGAGGAGTACCGGCAAAAATAACACTACTCACATCTTCTCTCGTACAACTATTACACAGACAAACAATAACTGTAAACGACGCCTAAACTTGTAGACCAGAATTGAAAAAGGAACTTAAAGCGAGGACATAAAGTGATGTGCAAGACCATCAGAAGATCGAAGGAGTCCAAAGATGCAACTAGTCCACTGACGGATCGATTGTAAGAGGCCCAAGCAACTTATTGTAGCAAAAGTCCAGTCGCAAAAGTACACCTGATACAGCTGAAATTCACACAAATTTGCACAAGGAGACTCGTCGTCGGCACAAAAGCTCTGCGAACATGGCCTAACAAAATTTACTACAAGGCCTCGTATATGGTGGCTGACCGATCCACATCGGCCCACCATGGCCCAACCACCACCACCACCTCCTTCTTTCTCCTCATCCTCCCCCACCTCCCGCTTCCGGCCGTAGCATCCTTCCTCCTCACTCCCTGCTGCCGCCTTCCTGTCCGGCTCCAGCGGCGCTGGAGCCGCCACTCGCCCCGCCCCCCCCCACTAACCTAGCCAACCACGGTGCCCCGCTCGATGGCCCGCGGCTGCGGCGCCCCTACCGCCCGCTGTCCCGCCCTAGCGACCACCTCCACCGTTGGTCCGGCAGCCTCTCCGACCACCCCTCTAGGTCTCGCAACAAAAGAACCCTCCCCCAAACCCTGGAACCCCAAAACCCTAACCCTAACTTGCCGCCCGTGTGCCCGCCACCCGCCTCCGCCTGTCATCGTCTGCTGCCATGCAAGCTCGGTGTCGATTCCGCTACTCCATCCACGCTCGTGCTCGCACCGCCGACGCAGATGCGTCATACCGACGGAGGAGGAACAAGAATCGGCATGAATCTTAAGGTCGACTGAGCATACGATTCCGCTCGGTTTTTGCACTACTATCAACCCCAAAAAAACCAACTTTGCCTTACGTAAGGTTGTCAGAGTACGATTAACCTCTGGATTTTAAATCTCTGCTTATATATCTGGTATTGGTCATAATTTACAAGAACATTATGTAGTATTAGTAAGAGCATGAAGGGTTAAGGATTTACTTGGTGTGATATATTGCATTACTCGAGGAACCCTAGATGTTGTCGTAGTAAAGAATCATTTGGTGACTATGTTAATCTCAGCGCAAGATCATGGCACAAGTTGACCCGAACATACCACAAGGTCGGAAATCGTTTTGGTTGCACCCGATGGTCCTCCCAGGTGTTGTGGGACAAGTACATTTTACCTCTCGCTAGTAGTCAAATTGTAGTATCAACTCTTTGCTTTAATTGATCTTTTTGTATTAATAATTTTGCCAAACTTTACTTTTTCTCTCTTTCTTTAGTTTTGTTTCACTCTTATAAGAAACGTTTTTTGGAAAGTAAGAAAGAGTCGTTCTATTCTGCTATGTTTTGTTCCAGTATAATAGAATAGAAAGGGCGACTATAGTAATTCATAATTTCTATTCTACTAGAAATTATGAGTAAAAAGAAAGTTCTATACATAAGAAAATTAGAACATAAGAAATTAGACTTTCTTACACGAAGCTATTTACATCGCATATTTTCCATTTATACTATTTTCTTATTTTTAGAAAAAAAAATTATGATCTTTTTTTTGAAGGATCTCGATTGAAGCATCTTACACTATTTTTAAGCATGAAAGATTTGTAGGTTTGTTTCCTTTTACTTTTTTTTTTCTTTTACTATAGTCTATTCTCGTATTATTTTTCACCTCCTTGGAATCTTTCGATGAAGAATTATCTTTGATTTTTTATTTTGACTTATTGAAATTAAGTGGATGCTGTGAAAAAAGAAGTTGAATTAGACTACATATATCTCTTCAGCACAACATAGGTCATCAAAAAGATCTCATACGTCTCACATTAGAAAATGGATTCCTATTTGAAGAGTTCCTAACTGCATGGATGAGCTCACATTAACCCATCAATTTTTGCATCCAATATCGATTCGTACAGAGGAAAAAGTTCTCTATTAATTCAAACGTTGTACCTAGAGGACAGGGACAAAGGAATATAGGATTCCAGATTTACAACAACTGCTTTTTGCATGGGCCCAGTAGGCCCGTAGCTGCGAAGGCCCAGCCTACAAGGAAGACAGAGCGACGACGTGCTGACTCTTCCCGTCCTGTCCTGTCGCAGAACCGACCAATTTATAAGAACACAAGTACAATGGCGGCCCGCAAACGGTCGCACTGTCATACTTGAGCCCATATAAACCCGGTAGTCTGTCGAGTACCACGACGGGTCTCGATAAACGATCCACAAACAACCAAGATCGTACATGATTCAATATACATGTCACATATTACATAAAGTTCGCAGATACATTTCCATCATCAGAGTATGAAATAAGTTATTACAAATCAAGTTTGATAGATAATAGCGGAAGCAAATTAAGTCCAAAAATAGCATTTGCTAGCATAGTTTAATACAGTGCCAACATATGATCACAGTCCACAAAAGCATAAAGAGGGATTAATAAAGAAGCCTGCCCAGGGCTTACTCCTCATCCACAACGGGATAGAAGCAACTCTTGCAATAACCATAATACGTGGTGCCATCTGTAACAATGGAAAATAAAACCCTGAGTACGAGAAGGTACTCAGCTAGACTTACCCGTCATAAACCAGAAATAAATTGACTCCAAGGATTATGCAAGGCTGTATAAGTGGAGGTAGCTTGACAACATTTTGTATAAAAAGCGATTAACTCAGTTATACAATTATAATTCTGTTATCAATTAATTATGACTATCCATCTCTAAATTAGCAACTATCCTGTGCCAAACATGTGTTATATTTTTTAAAAGCATACAATAGTAACCATAGGAGGTATAGTAATTTCATGTTTATCTGAACCATCATATTTCATAGTACAATTACTACGATGTTGAGACTAGCCAAGTTTCTCACAATCCGGGAGAGATGGCGATTCAAATCGATTTCAACCAGCTGGGAATTTATTCCTAACACAAACCCAGGCATGCCGCGCGAAGGCAGCCTTATGTCACCTTTGGTACAACTCAGGTACACATTTTACGGGTTCGTACAGCGCTGCACAATCGGGGACTGACGGTAGCCAGGTCGCTCAAGCCATGCCTGCCCACGGTCTAGGACCAGGTCACTCAGGTCATGCTTGCCCACGGTCTATTGATCCGCTCCCCACAGAGGGCACACAACAGAACGGCAGCTATGATCTTATATCTCTTCTTAATTACTAATTCAAACACTTCAACAATTCAGTTACTACACTACAAAACAATAGCTACTTATTTCTCTCATAACTGGAGTTCTACTTATCCAAATGCTATGATCCTAGACTTTCTGGAAATATTATTAAATTGTCTACAACTCTTATTAAATCACCAAAAGCTAATTCACAATTTATCTTAACCAAAACAGACAATCAATCCAGTGTTGTCCAGAAATTCCAGAGAGCAAGCAATTCGGAAAAACTAACTTTAAACAGCTATAGCTCCTAAACCCTTTGGCCTATGGTCCTGAAATTTTAACACAAGATATATAAAGAAGTTACCTACAACTTTGTTATTAACCATTTTTACAGCAAACACCATTTTTACCATGCAACCTATCCAACTACAGAATCTGTCCGAAAACCCTTCCAACTCGTATTATAAATCAACAACACTTCTACTTCATGTAAGCAATTCAAATTTTTACAACACAAAGTCTACCAATAGTTCAAGCATACCAAATACACTCAAGAAAACATAATGGTAAAGCCCAAACTATTTATTTAAATGCCTTTATTATTTTATTTAGACACTTAAGTTAAATAATAAACATATACCAAATGTTCATCATAAATTCTCAGAAATTTACAGTGGCTTACTAGTGCTACCAATAGACTTCTGTAAAAGTTTCATGCCATTTTACCAAGTAAAACATCCTATGTAAAAATGACAAGGCATAAAGGCTTAAAACAACATAAATAGGAAACCCTAGTGAAAAGTGTCAAGAAACAGATTTTATATTTTTCTAAGCATCCATAAGGTACTAGGATATCCCCAACAAATTTCATGAGCATTGGATTCATACATAATTTATAAAAATTCCCACAAGGATCTCCAAATTATAAAAGGAAAATCTATAACTCAAAAACTGTATATTCACTGACTCTGAAATTTTTATCAAACCTTCTATACATCAAGAAGAGCTCACCATCCAATTTTCATAATTTTTAGAGCACAGGAACTCTATATATAAATTAAACAAGTTTGCCTACATTTAAAAACACATTTCAAGTTTCAATTTAATTCTTCCAAAAATTCTACTACAAGTGCTAATATTATATTTTTCCTAAATACTACACTTCCTAAGGAACACTACAAAATTCTGTTCACAATTTTTAGATCTACATAGCTCTGCATTTTATTTTTCAAAGTTGCACACAAAAACAGGAACAAATGAGCTAGCCTACTGCACTACAGTCACTGACGACCCGGGCCCGCTTGTCAGCGACGGCGAAGCAGAGAAGGCGGCACAGAACGGCATGGAACCTACGGAGCTCGCCGACGGCAGTGTCTCCGGTGAAACCGAGGGCTCCAGCGTGCACCTCGCGACGAGCCACACCTAACTATGCCTTCCCTCAACCGCTACCGAGCTCTAGCTAGGACGGTGGCGTGCATGGCGGACGGCGGAGGGGCTCCGATGGCGCTCCGGCGAAATCTGGCCATGTAGGGCGCGGCTAAGCACAGTATGAGCTTCTAGGGATCATGGGGAATACGAGGGTAGGAAGGTAAGGGAGTGAGAGGGCTCCGGTGGTGGTCGGCCACGGAGAGCTCCAACTCCGACGAGCCTCGGTCATGGTGGCAAAGCGGCTTACCGCGCTCCTAGCTAGCAAATGCTGGTGCGGTGGTGATGCGGGGTCACAGTGAAGCACAATGTAGCGGCTGTGGTGGTGATTGAGTGACGAGGCGCGAGCTTGTGCCGTCAATGGCGATGGCGGCGCTGCGGGAGCTTCGCTACTGCGGATGGCGAAGGAGGAGGTAGTGAAAATGGAAATGTGAGCGCGGGGAGGGAGTGGGCGAGTGCGGGGGAGTTGAAGGCATGCTCTGGCCCGGCGTGGCCTGGCGGATCAGCTCAATGGCGACACGCGACCGTTTCTTCCTTCATGCGGCGACCAGTACCTGTGCACCGGTCGGCCACTGAAGCCAGTTCGATTCAGTCATCAGCGCTCGATAGTCTGACTAACAGCGCAATATGATAGCGTTCAAACTCCTAGTCCAAGGCATATCAACAAAAACTTCTTAAACCAAAATCGTAGACCTATATACCAGCTACAATACTCCTTTAGAGATCAAAGTCTAATTTGCAATGGATAGAGAGTAAAATCATCACCAATGTCGAGCCATTACACTGTAAACCGGTTTTGGACTTCGAAAAATTCTAAGTGCTGGAAATCAGTGAACTAGCGATTTTTGTGAGCTGAAAAAGACTAAGCTATGCACATAATTAGCTCAAGACCCAAACATAAAAGTTGTTGCTCTACTCAAATACTACAACTTTGCTTAAAGGTTCACTGCCATGTAAAGACTCTATGATATAGTTCAAACTAGGTCAAACATGGCACTTTAAAATGATGTCATACACCATATTAATGACTTAGAGACCAAACTAGACTTAGTCATGAATACCAAAGTTGTTCTTTTTGCTATTCTAAACATGTTTTAAGTACTCACAAGGTTACACACACATTTCATACATTGGTTGCATGTAAACCCTAACTTAAGTAAGGTAATTAAGTAATATCATATGCAATATAAGCCAACAAAGATGGAATACATGATATGCTTATGATCATGAATGCTCAATGATGATTGTGATCATGCAATATCAAGGTTAAGTGCATGCTTAACATCGAGGGTGTTACACGTCGCTCCCCGTCTTCCTTGTTCCTCGGCGTCGCTTCAAAACCCTGCTACTACAAGGAAGCCACACCAAGCGAGAGAGAAAGAACAAGCTGCTTCAAAACCCTAATTGATTTCTTTTTGCGATCGGGGTCTTCCTCCGTCATCTTCGCCGCCACATCAAGCGGGTACCACATCCTCAGGATCCATGGCTACGCCGGCACTAAGGGAACCCCGACCGGACAATACATCAAATCCCACCCTTTCACCATCGGTGGCCACTGCTGGACCATCCGCTACTACCCCAATGGCTACGGCTCGCAGTCCTTAGATCACATATCCTTCTTCCTCGAGCTTGGTGAAAGCATCACCAAGGCCATGAAGGCATAGTACCAAATCTATTTCATCGACCAAGAGGAGGAGAAGCCCCTGACATCGGAACCTATGACCAGATTTGAGAACCAGACTACTTCGGGCTACGCGTACTTCACGAAGAGGCAAGAATTCGAGAAGTTGGAGCATCTCAAGGATGGATCCTTCGCCGTGCGGTGCGACATCATAGTCATCGGCGACATCCACGTGGAGGAGACAGTAGTAGTGGCCACAGTGTTAGGCTCCATCGCCGTGCCGGCATCCGACCTGCACCAGCACCTCGAAGACCTTCTTCGGGCCGAGAAGGGCGCCGACGTGGTGTTTGACGTCGGCAGCCACACCTTCGCCACGCACCAGTGCGTGCTCGTGGTGCGGTCGCCGGTGTTTAGAGAGGAGCTCTTTGGCTCGATGAAGGAGAGCGACGCCGCCACCGACGTCGTCCGCGTAGACGACATGGAGGAGCGGGCGTTCAACGGCCTTCTCCACTTTGTGTACACCAACATGTTCCCGGAGACATCAAAGGAAGAGGAAGGGGAAGAGTGTTGGCCCATAGGATCACTGGCTCAGGTGAGTGAACCACTCGCCGGTCTTGCCGAGCACCCGCTAGTGTTGTCGAGCACCCACTAGCCATGCCGACCACGAACAAGCGTTGTCCATGCCCACACACTATGGCTGGAGCTAGAAGAAGAAGGGAGAACAGAGCAAGCATGCACAATACAAGACACCAGCATTGGCCGAAGCCCTGTCTGTGAGATGACAAATCTGAACTCACATTATTGAGTTGCCGTGTATGTCTATTTATACAACTCTATCCATCTAGTCCTAGTACAGCGCACATGCTGCAACAGTAACTAGATAACACTGACAGGGCTGACTCTACGCCAGCCACTGCATGTTCCTATAGTGCTACAGGTGAGCCATGCGGCGCCTGCACCTACAGCGGCTACAGTATCACAGCAAGGGGCCAGTTTGGCACCACCTTCCCTTGCTGTGTTCACACAAGGTAACAGCGAATTAGCTAACAATCTTCCCCAAATCCTACTGCTAACCCTTGTACCCCCTCCATGCCGATTATCTCCTTTAGCTCCATGAGTCGAAGTCATCCGAGCGGCTTGGTGAGGACGTCCGCGAGTTGCTGACCAGTTTCAACGAACTCGATGACGATCTGCCCAACATCAACATAGTCCCTAAGGAAGTTGAACTTCACATCGATGTGTTTACTCCAGTCATGTAGAACCGGATTCTTCGCGAGGGCGATGGCGGGCTGGTTGTCCACCATCAGTGCTGGTGGGTGAGCTTCCGCACTGGTCAGCTCGCCCAGCAGCTGGCGTAGCCACACAACTTGGCACGCCGCCGTGGCCGCCACTACGTACTCTGCCTCGCACATAGATAGCGCCACCACCTTCTATTTCAGCGACAACCATGAAATTGGGGCCGAGCCGAGGAAGACGAGCATGCCAGAGGTGCTCTATCATCCGTCGATGTCCCCCACCATGTCTGCATCGCTGAACACCGTGAGCTGCAGCCTACTCTCGTCGGTCTTTGGGAAGATGATCCCATGATTCATCGTCCCCTTGATGTAGTGTAGTAGCCGCTTCACCACAGCCCAGTGATCCTCTCTGGGATCCTCCATGAAGCGACTGACGTAGCCCATGGTGAACGCAATGTCTGGCCTCGTGTGGACTAGGTAGCATAGACCACCGATGATGCTCTGGTAGAGTATTACATCCACCTTCGCTGTGGTGCTGGCCTTCGTCAGCTTCAGCCGCTCCTCCATCGGAGTCACACATGGCTTGCACTCCACCATGCCGCTCCTCTCCAATAGCTTGGAGGCATACGCGCTCTGCCCGAGCATGAGTTCCTCCTTCCCTTGTCTCACCTCGATGCCGAGGTAGTAGGAGAGTGCGCCGAGATCGCTCATTCAAAAACGAGTCGACATCTCACGCTTGAAGCTGTTGATATCCTCTATGTGCACGCCAGTGACGATTAAGTCATCCACATACACACCGACCACGAGTTCCTCCTTCCCCCATCATCGCATGTAGAGCGCATGCTCAGTTGCGCACCTTTCAAACCCAAGCTCACCCAATGTGGCATCAAGCTTGGCATTCCATGCTCGAGGGGCCTGTTGTAGCCCGTAGAGTGCCTTGCGCAATAGGAGCACCCTATGCTCCTCTCCCTTGATGGCGAAACCTGGAGGTTGCCTAACGAAGACCATTTCCGCTAGCTCGCCGTTGAGGAAGGCCGATTTAACATCCAAGTGATGGACGCGCCAGTCCTTTGCTGCTGCCAAGGCTAGTAGCAAACGAACCGACTCCATGCGCGCTACTGGTGCAAAGACCTCCTCGAAGTCGATGCCCTCGCGCTGAACAAAGCCTCGGGCAACAAGACGCGCCTTGTGCTTAACAATGGCGCTGAGCTCATCCCTTTTGACCTTGTACACCCAATTCAGGCTGATCGGACGACATCCTAGAGGTGGATCGATGAGCTGCCAAGTCTCATTTTCCTCAATCGCCTTCATCTCCTCTAGCATCGCCCGTCGCCAGTTTCCATCATGCTCGGCTAGCGCGGATGTGGGTGGTTCCTCTACATTGATGAGTAGCAGCTCTGTTTCATTGAGAAGCCTACCCGCCAGACCTAAGGGACCTGTGCCACCGCCGATGTCATCCAACCTGTGGAGCCACACCTCCTCACCTTCATGGTAGGTGTCCATGAACTCAGTGATGTCACTTGGAGGTGAGACGAACTCAATCGGCGTCGATGGAGTTCCCTGTTCTGCCGGAGTGCTCGGCATAGCACCTGAAGTTCTCGGCACTGCTTTTGGATATCTCGTTATAACTCCTACAGTGTTCGGCCACACTGTAGGAGTGCCTAGCCTTAGTCTTGGAGTGGTTGGTACCATAGCAAGACGTCTTGGCTCCACCGCGGGAGTGCTCGGCACCCGTCCTAAAGTGGTCGCCACCACTGTAGAACCTCCCGGCTTGACTCCTGGCGTGCTTGGCATCCCTTCAGGAGTGCACGACACTCCTCCTGAAGTGCTCGGCATCCCTCCTGAAGTGCTCGACATCCCTCCTGAAGTGCTCGGCACTGCCCTAGGAGTGCTTGACTCTACCACCGGAGTGCTCGGTGCTACTCCCGAAGTGCTCGGCACCTGTTCCCCAGCGTCTCCACCACCGTGGATGACCAAGTGCTCGACGGCGAAGGTGTTGGTGAAGCCGCCAGCTTCCCCCGTGCTCGGACTGCTCCAGTCCCAAGCCGCCTTCTCGTCGAACATGACATTGCACGAGACAAGCACTTTGTCTCCACGTGGGTCATAGAGCTGGTACGCCTTGGTACCCTCTGCGTAGCCTAGGAACACCATCGGTGTGCTCCTATCCTCCAGCTTGGTGAGGTTCGGCTTCGTCTTCCTGACATGGCTGATGCAACCGAATGTCCGAAGGAAGGACACGCTCGGCTTGCACCCATACCAAGCTTCGAACGACATCTTGCCCATCAGAGGCTTGGTCAGAGCATGGTTGAGGATGAACACCTCTGTGGTCACTGCCTCTCCCTAGAACCTCGCTGGCATGCCTTTGGCCTTCATCATGGATTGGGCCATGCCAACCACCGTCTAGTTCTGTCGCTCCACCATGCCATTCTGTTGTGGCGAGTACGTCGTGGTGTGGTGTTGCCCCACACCCTGATCCGTGCAGTATGCAGCGAACTCCACCAAAGTGAATTCACCACCGCAATCAGTCCTCAGCATGCGGAGCTTCTTGCCACTCTTGGCCTCCGCGCGTGTCTTGAACTTCTTGATCGCCGCCATCGCTTCGTCCTTGCTCATCAGGAGTTACAGCCACATGTAGCTACTGCAATCATCCACGAGCAGGAGGAAGTATTACCGACCACCGCAAGTAGCAGGCATGATCGGCCCGCAGAGGTCGCCGTGAATGAGCTTGAGAGCTTCCTTCACGCGATACTTGGCCACCTTTGGGAAAGGTAGCCTCCTCTGCTTCCTAGCCAGGCAGCTATCACACAGCTCACCTCCATGCTTGATGTGGGGTAGCCCTCGGACCATCTTCTCTAGCCAACCAAGCGCGTCGAAGCTGAGATGTCCGAATCGGGCATGCCACATCCATGGTTCCTCAGAGTGCCTTGCTGCCAGGCACACTGGCTGCTCTACCTTTAGGTCGAGCAGGTACAAACGGTTTAGGGACCTCTTCACCTTGGAAAGAAGTCACTGCTCCCGGTCCCTGATCCTAAGGACACCGTCCTTGATCAGTACCTCGCTACCATGCTCATCCAGCTAATCAATGTTGATGATGATGCAACGTAGCTGTGGGATGTAATATACATCCGTTAGTGCGCGGTGCTCCCCGTTCTGGCACCTGAAGATGATGGTGTCGTGCCCTTGGATTGCCACCCGAGAGGCGTCACCAAACTTCACCGTACCGGTAACATTGCCGTCGAGCTTGGAGAAGGCTGCCTTGGAGCCCGTCATGTGGTTGCTGGCACCAGAGTCCAGATACCACCACTGCTCCTGGTCGACGCCCACATGCCCGAGGTGGACTTGGGCGCATGGTTCATTGAGGTTGACGGTCTTCAGGGCCTTCCTAGGTCCTTCCACCATCGTCGCCTCCTCTCTCTTTTCGGCCTCGACGTCGTGCAGTGCATAGAACGTCATCATCAGGATAGTGGCCTCATCCTCATCATCGGCTTGCACCAGATGAGCCTAGGCCTTCTTTTCCTGCTTGCAGTTTGGGCACTCCTGTGCCCAATGGCCCATCTTCCCGCAACGCCGGCAGGCGTTGGAGTCGACCTGCTTCTTCTTCGAAGAAGCCTTGCCGTGGCACTTGCCATCAACACCGCGGCTGGAGGAGGCTGCCTTCCTAGAGTTCCTCTGAGCAGCCCACTCCTCTTCCGTTAGCAGGAGTTTCCCACTGACCTTCGTTGTTGCCGCCTGCTCTAGGTGCTTGTCCACCACCCACAGACAGCCTGTCACATCCTCAATGGTGAGGGTGGACAAGTCCAGCATCGTCTCTATGGAGAGAGCGGTCTAGATGTACTTCGCCGGTACAGAGTGGAGGTACTTGGAGACCGCCTCCTCTTCGTCGATGGTGACGCCGTGGCTCTTCAGCTTGCTGATGAACATTTGCAGGCGAAGGGAGAAGTCCTCCACCGTTTCACCATCTTTGAACTTGAGGTTTACATACTCCTGCTTTAGAAGCTGGGCCGTCGCCTTCTTTGCGCGTCGGAACCGACGCGCATCCCCGAAATAGCCTCCCATGCCTCCTTAGTCGAGCTCTTTGCCTCCAACGGCTCCCTATACTCTGCCGGTACAGCAGCGAGGATAGCCTCCAATGCTGACATGTCGTCTTCTTCCACGTCGGTGAAATTGTCAACATCATTCTAGAGCCATCGGGCTCTGAGCTTGACCTTCATGGTCACCGACCACTCTCCATAGTTGGTGCGAGTTAGCGTCGGCCAACTGGTGCCGCTGATCTCTCGCACCATGCGAACAACGACCTCCGGTCGTGGCTAGGCAGCCACAGCAGTGCCA